TAGGTTGGGATTAGTTATGCTCTGCTAATGGTTAGGTTGGGATTAGTTATGCTCTGCTAATGGTTAGGTTGGGATTAGTTATGCTCTGCTAATGGTTAGGTTGGGATTAGTTATGCTCTGCTAATGGTTAGGTTGGGATTAGCTATGCTCTGCTAATGGTTAGGTTGGGATTAGTTAGGCTCTGCTAATGGTTAGGTTGGGATTAGCTATGCTCTGCTAATGGTTAGGTTGGGATTAGTTAGGCTCTGCTAATGGTTAGGTTGGGATTAGCTATGCTATGCTAATGGTTAGGTTTATGGTTATTGCCAGTGTTGGGTCATTGACAGGGTCGTTAGCGTTGTGATGTCAGCGGAGGTCAATGGGAATCATTAGTCTCATTATGATTCTCATTATGAACAGGAAGCAGGAAATCTGCCTCCTCTCACCTGTCTGTCGCTTCTAGAGTCGCTAACAAATTTTAAAAGGCTGTGAATAGTTTTAACAGTAACAGCTAATAGCTTTTTATAGAATCAAATGATCAAACTGATTTAAGTAAATCAATAAAGCAAAGTACCTGGCTGTCGGTGGACATTAAAACAGCAACAAGTTTCTGCTGAACCGCTCCACATCGGTTCATCTCCATGGCAACAAGTCAATCTCCATTGTGGGATAAAGAAACACGAGGAACACATCCACATGAGAAGTGATGAATTTTAATCTCAGCCATTTATTGTGTTAAAAAGACTTTGTCACATCCTTTATGTTTTCATCAAAGCTATTGTGTTTATGCTGCTAACAGTGTTTTGTTTCTGCTGCCATTCTTTGCTGCCTCTCTGCAGACATTCTTTGTTATTGATGTTTATTAGTCACTGAAAAGCTGCTAACGTGCTTTGATTTATGAAGAAACAAGCAAACAATCATTCACAACAAAGATGGTTTGTAAAACTGTTTTAGAAAAGCTGGTGAGATTGCTGCCAGCCTTAAACATTCTTTATGGATGCATGTTTCTACATAGAAAAACCTAAACAGAAGTCACAAACTATGCCGTAAAAATATTCTTTATTTGCACCAAATGAAAACAGATTTATAATTAGAAAATGAAACCAGGTCAATATAAAAATCAGACAGACGTTTAAACCATTTAAACAATCCAGATCCCGTTCAGACCTAAACTACCTCTGCTAGCTTGAAGAGCGATTCATACGGACGTGCTGATTGGTCAGCAGGGTCGGCTTTAGGCGGGGTGGGGAAAGACGGAGCATTTATGGAAAAACACATCGGAGAGAGAGTAGATATGGCTGCAGGAACATGTGCAGGAAAGGGTTAGCA